GATACGTTGGGTGAGAGGATCAAAACAACGATAGGCACTACGTTGAGGGCAATATCCAAGGAAAAGACAAGGTTTTGAGCGAGGATCAAGTTTGTGTGATGAATAAGGACGAAGCCAAGGGTAACAGAGACAACCAAAAATACGGAGTTTGTGATAATTAGGTGGCAGATTGAAGAGAAGAGTGTAGGGAATTTTACCACGTAGAGCGGAGGAAGGCAAGCGGTTGATGAGATAAACGGCTGTGAAGAAGGCGAAAGACCAAAAAGTTGTAGGAAGATTGGCATGATAAAGAAGAGTGATACCCGTTTCGACAAGATGACGATGTTTCCGTTCAGCCAAACCATTATGTTCAGGTGTATGGGGAGGAGTGAGGAGATGAGTTATGCCATTTTGACATAAATCCATACGCAATTTCTGAAATTCACCACCACCATCCGTATAAAGCCGACGAATGGTAGTGGAGAAGTAATTTTCCACCATTTTGCGAAAGGCAAGAAAAATTTGGAGAACATCAGATTTGTTGCGCAACGGATAATACCAAGTATAACGAGTAAAATGATCAATAATAACCAGATAATAGCGATAACCATCAATAGAGGAAACCGGAGCAGGGCCCCAAACGTCAGTATACAAAAGATCAAATGGACGGCTGCTAGATAATGAGGAAACAGAGAAGGGTAGTTTGTGACTTTTATTGGAAAGGCAAGTATCACAATGAGAACATGCAAGGGAAGTCGAAACAGGAAGGGAAAAATACCGAATAAGACTCGCAAGAGAGGATTGGGAAGGATGCCCAAGGCGGGCGTGCCAGGAAGGCGCAGAAGTACGAGTGGTGACAAGAGCCAGGCGAACGTCCTTCACTTCACTAGGTAATTCATAAACATCACCGTTGTTTTCCCCCCTCAGCAGCTGCGCCCTCGTGCGAAGATCCTTCACAACAAAATGAGTAGCAAAAAATTCCACAGAAACCGGATTAGCTTGACATAGTTTAGCTACCGAAATTAGATGCTTCTTAATGGTTGGCACACACAATATATCACGCAAATATATATTATGGGGCCCAAGAGATAGTGTAGAAGAGCCAATATGAGATATTTTCAAACCTGATCCATCACCCACAGTAATTTCATCAGGGCCGGCGTAATCAAAATATAAAGAGAGTTGGCCCAAGTCAGCTGTAACATGGTGTGAGGCCGCTGAATCCATCAGCCACGGCCTAGGAGAAGAAGCATTGGTGGCGTGGGCCTGTGCAGGCCGTGTGGTACCATGGGCCGGAGCTGAGTGCAGCTGATTGTACGCCTGGCGCGCCTGGGGGAATAGGCGGAAGCACTGTCGAACGGCATGACCGGGCCGCTCACAGTACTGACACACGACTTGGGCTCGTCGTGCTCGTGTGGGCTTAGGGGAGAAAGCACGTCGGCCTGGAGCGATGGGCTGAGGAGAATCAGGCCCAAACCCTGCTCCTTGCCCAACACAGACCCTAATCCCTGCTGTTGTTGACGGGAAGAGAATCCTCCGCCGCGAGGAGAGGAAGGGCCAACGCCGCTGCTGAAGCCGCCATGACGAGACTGCCATGTGTAAAACGTTGTGGGTACAACGGTGGACTGCTGGGCTTTTAGATCAGCCTCATACTCCACGAGGGAGTCAACGAGATCTTCGAGGGTGAGCCCTGGGCCACGAGCGCGAACAGCTGCAGAGAAGGAATTGTAGGCTTCCCCTAGCCCTCGAAGGCAATGTACCACAAGATCAATATCCTTCACAGGCTCGCCTATGAGTGCGAGTTCAGCTGCTATTGACTTAAGATCATTAACAAATGTAAGAATATCTTGATTTCCCTTGACTGATTTAGCAAGCTTCCCCTTAAGATGAATAATACGCGATTGAGCATTACTCGCATATAGCTTCTCGAGAATCAACCAGGCATCTCGAGAGGTTGAAGCAGCAGAGACAAATGAATAGATGGATTCATCATTTGAGCACCGCAGGGCATGAATGATAAGTTTATCTTGCCTGAACCAGTTGCGATAAGAAGGATTAGAGACTGTGGCCTCATCCACTATAATTGTTTTGGAAGGAGCAGCTGCCGATCCATCGATGTAGCTAATCAAATCAAGCCCCATGAGAAGAGTCTCCAGCTGGGATCTCCAGGACGCAAAGTTCGTTGGGGTCAGCTTCAGGGAAAGCTGTGCAGCCGGATTGAAGGTAATAATTTGGGGATCAGAAGGTTTGGATCCATTGCTAGAATCAGAGGCTGTTGAGTCTCCAGCCATGATGAGTAGTTGATAGAGAGACACGGAAGAAAGCGTGGGATAATCAACACGAAGGAGAATGGAAAAACTTGAGAACAGGGGAAGTGATGTGGTATGGATCGAACTCTAGCTGATCGTTGCTAGCTCTGATACCATGTTAGAAATATTGTAGAGAGAATTTGTTGTAGAAACTGAACCTGATCTGTATTGATATCTCTATCAACTAATATACATGTACAATGAGAGTTTCTAGCTAACAAGATGACCCACGTTCCTTGATTATAGGAACAGAATGTAAGTGGGGAATAAGAGACGTGGGAGAGAAGGAATAAAAAGAAAAATTCTTTTATGACTTTTCTCTAATAGGCACAAGTTTGGGCGTAGCTGACGAGCAGCAGGGAAGCTCGATAGTTTGTGAGATGAGGGAGGTTCCCTGAACAGGTAGGTAAGGAACGATGCAGCCAATGCTCTTGAGGATGGTAAGAAAGGACGATGCACTTGAGAAGCTTCCCCTGCCATAGACATCCAAGGAGGATGATGAGGAAAAAAGAAAACTCAATCGGCATTGCAAGCAGTCGCCCGTTAGGGTTAATTTAATTTAAATTTTGTTCTTAATTTATAAATAATTAGGGGGTCATTTAGTCATTTCAAGTGAGTCAAAGGATATTTTGACCAAATTTAACGGTTTTAGATGGAAAATCTAATAGATTTGATAAATTTTAATAATATAGGGGCAACTTTGATGTGAAATACAGTAAAGGGGCAAATTTGAGAAAATGCAATAACAGAGGGTAAAATATGATATTAACCCTTTTTTATAAAGATGAAACATTTTATTAAGAGTTAAAATAGTCCACAAATTACAAACATACATAAGCCTCCCTGGCCATCGCAACTTATATCATGCCACAAAAATGCATGTGCTTATAAAACCACTAGCCGGTGACCGGCCCATTGACCGGAATAGTATCCGCATCGTTTTCAAGTGTACAATCATTTTAACTAAATAATTTAGTCAATTTTAAACACGATGATCGAAGATAATTCATAATCCAGATAGTTTGGTAGAAAATAGCTCTTTTATCATCAACGATTTTAGGGGGAAATTAGAGACATGAAAACAAAAGGCAATATAAGTGTATAGTTATAGGTACAAGAAATCTGCTTTGTTCGTGACGGTGAAAGTGGATAGGTGGCGATGACAGACATCTCGATTTCATCCATTAATCCCCAACCACTCACTCTTTGTTCACTGTAACATGAAAGAACAAAAAGAAGATAATATAACAATAATCCTTACCAACAAAACCCTTAAAATTGGATTCTGTAATTAAGGTGACCAGTTGGATTCTTCCCACTTGACGCGTACAAACTCTAAGTAGGGTAAAATATAAATTCTTTCATTTCTAATTTTGAGGAATACAAAAGAAAATAACGATAAACTAAATGGATAATTGAACTAGTATTCTTCTTCTTTACTTTCCCGAATAACTATATATATTAACATATACGTTGAAATTTCATTTTGAATTTCATCATGTTATTTATTTGCTATTGCATTTTGTAAGATTGCATCTAATGCAACTATGGGTGTGCAAGTCACACCATCTTCTTATGTTAAATATTATTATTCAAGTGTTTATGTTTTCATGGTTGTATTAAAAAATTAATTGGGATTGCAATTGTAAGTGAATTGTATTGATGTGTAATAAAATTAATATGAGTTGGAGTAGATAAATTGCAAGATAACAATAAATATAATATATGGAATAAATCTTACAACTGTTGGATTGAAAGATTTCAATCAAATCAAGTCAGAGATTGCTCTTTCTCAAAAGGAAGAGTCAAAGAAAATTAAGCCAAAATCAAGGGGGAGCTGATAAATGGAATCCTAAACCTTCCTTGACTGGAACGATTCAAAAGACAGGACTACAACGGCTATCTTCTTGAAGAACTATTTAAAGGAAGCTCGGAGACCATTTTATGTACTGATTCTGGGATTCTTTGTGGAATAGGGCAAAGGGTTGGGGGATAGACAGTGGCTTTGATCGCAACTGAGGAATAGGTTCAGTCGATCAAAGGTGTAGTTAATTCCTGTGCGAATTCGGGTCTTGTTGCCATCGCTTTGATTTTCACATTTGTGTCTGTATTTGAGTCTTTCTGTTCTTCTTTATATAGTCAAGAAAATCAAAGTGTCTCTCGGAATAGTGTCTATTATTCCGGGACGAGGAGTAACCCTGTGGTGAACCTCGTTAAAAATTCCGCTGTGTTCTTTATTTTTTGCACTTTCTTTTTGATCGTTTCCAGCTTCCCCTGTTCTGCGTCTCTCTGGTTCTGGTCAGCTTGGCTCAGCGAAGAAGAAGAACAATTTCTCTCTTTCTTCTCTGAGTAGAGATTCGGGCCTATACTGAAGTCAAGCACAGTATCTTTCCATTCTGATATGCGGGCTTATCTTTAGACGGCCCAACCGAAACCAGCTCTTACGAGATGGGTTAAAATCATTTCGGTCTAATTAGGGTTGATTTGTTTGCTGACTTCTATCATTCAAAATCCCTAATTGTTCCCTTCCCATTTCTGTTTCACGAAATCATTTCTCTCTTACAAGTGGTATCAGAGCGAGTCTGGTTCTTGAAAGAGCTAATTGTTGCCAAGACAGATCCAGAATCAATGGGATCAACCAACTTCGGGCAAGCATCATATAATCACCCTCCTGTGTTCACCGGGTCGAACTATACATCATGGAAGAAAAGAATGAAAACTTTTCTGTGGGGAGTCGACGAGGATCTCTGGACGGTGGTGCGTGATGGTCCAGTCGCCATGGTGGACGAAGAACAAAGCACTTGGTCAGCCGCCCAAAAGAAGAGTGTTCAACTCAATCAGCGGGCTATGCACATCCTTCAATCAGCCATGGCACCTGACGAAGCTGACAAAGTGGAACATTGCGAATCCGCTCGGGAAATCTGGAAATCGCTCGAAAGCACGTACGAAGGAACCTCAAATATCAAGGAAACCAGGATTGATCTTCTGGTCCACGAGTATGAATGCTTCGAAATGGCTCCAGGTGAGGGAATTCATGAAATGTACTCTCAATTTATTGTTCTTATAAATAAACTGAAAGGACTAGGGAAAGCTTATATCCTTAAGGATCTGAATAGAAAAAGCTTGAGGTCTCTTCCTAAGCAATGGTTACCAAAAAGAACAGCAACAGAAGAAGCTAGAAACTTGAATACCTTGCCCATAGATGAATTAATCGGGTCACTTCTGAGTCATGAGCTTGTCCATAAGCAAGTTAATAAGGATGAGGAGAAACACAAGAAAAGTTTAGCATTTAAATCTCAGGTGGTTGAATATGATTCAGATGCTGATCTAGGTGGTGAATTCAATAGAGAATTTGCTTTAATAAGCAAAAAATTTCACAGAATGCTTAAGTATAAGCAAGAACAGGAGCAAAAGTTATATGATCGTAATGCTTCTTATCGTGCTAACCCTTTTGACAAAGCCAAAAACTCTTTTCAAGATAGGCTGCGTACTCCGCAGACCAAGCGTATTGAAATAGGGATACTTGAAGCACAGGACTTCTACAAATGTGGAAAGCCAGGCCACATTCATGCAAATTGCCCTATGACATTAAAAGCAAAAGAAAGAGCCATGAAGGCCACTTGGAGTAATTATGAGTCTGACGAAGAAGAGGAATAAGAGGAGGAAAGAGCACTCATGGCCTCTACAGAACAGATGCTGAAAGTTCAACAACCCTGCAACCCCTCTGAAGATTCACAATGGTACCTTGATAGCGGGTGCTCTCATCACATGTCTGGTAAGAATTATCTGTTCAGCTCACTTGCTATGAAACGTGGAGGTAAAGTGACATTTGGAGAATATGTACCTAGTAGATGTGTCTGACCTGAGTATGTTCAATTCTAAGTGTCTTCAAGCTACATCCACTTCACCTGAGCTTCTTTGGCACAAACGTCTGGGGCATGTCAATATACCTAAACTAGCTGTGTTGTCCAAACTGAGTCTAGCCAGAGGAATACCTAAACTTAAAGATAAAGTTGAATTTTTCTGTAATGCTTGTGCTGCAGGTAAACATACAAGAAAAATCTATAAGGCTAAATCTGACATTACAACTGCTAGGACCTTCGAGTTAATACATATGGATCTATTTGGACCTTGTAATGTTACTAGCCTAGGAGGTAAAAACTATGTCTTTGTGTTAGTTGATGATTACTCTAGATTCACCTGGGTATATTTCTTAACTAATAAGGATGAAACCTTTGCAAAGTTTCGTTCTTTTGTCACTATACATCGTCAATCTATAGAAACCATTCGTAGTGATAACGGGGGAGAATTTATTTCAGATGAGTTTGCTGAATTTTGTGACAAGATAGGAATCAAGCATACTTTTTCTGCTCCTCGCACTCCTCAACAAAACGGAGTCGTAGAACGTAAAAACATGACTCTTATCGAATGTGTTAGGACTATGTTATTAGACTCGAACCTGCCTAAGTTCTTCTGGGCAGAATCTGTTAACACTGCTTGTTACATCATCAATCGAGTCATAGTTTGAAAACTGTTAAACAAGACTCCGTATGAAATTTTGAAAGGAAAAACCCCTAGAATTTCCTATTTTCACCCCTTTGGATGTCCCTGCTACATCCTAAATACTCAAGACCCACTTGGAAAATTTGATGCTAAGTCTGATCCAGCAACGTTTCTTGGGTATTCTTCTAAGGGTCAGGCCTATAGAGTATTTAATAAAAGAACTAGGAAAGTAGAGGAGTCAGTTCATGTAGTTTTTAATGAAACTGATCTGGTTACTCCAGATCCTACTATGATGATTGATTTAAGTAAACTCACCACCTCCTGTCAAGCTTCTTCCAGTGAACCTATCACTACATTCAAAGGACCAATTTCCCAAGAGATTCCAGGTCAACCAGATGAAGAACTTGATGAGTGTGCTGAATTGCCAAAGACTCCACCACATATTCAAAAACGGCATCCTGAGAGTCAAATCATTGGAAAATTGAGTGATGGACTGCAAACTCGAGGTAAGTACACTCCTGGACAGTATGCTTTCGTGTCTCAACTTGAACCTAAAAACTTTAAGGAAGCATTAAATGATGAAGAATGGAGTATTGCAATGATTGAGGAACTCACTCAATTTGAATACCTGCATGTCTGGGATCTTGTCCCTCGTCCTCCTAATGTTATTGTGATAGGAACTAAGTGGATATTTAGAAACAAATCTAATGAACTAGGGTACATTATAAGGAACAAAGCTAGGTTGGTGGCTAAAGAGTATCTTTAAGAAGAGGGCATCGCCTATGATGAAACCTTTGCCCCAGTAGCTAGGATCGAATCTATTAGATTGTTGTGTGCTTTTGCTAGTCACATGGGTTTCCCTTTATATCAAATGGATGTCAAAAGCGCGTTCTTGAATGGTATCATTCAAGAAGAGGTTTATGTGTCTCAACCCCTGGTTTTGTTGACTTTGAGCATCTTGATTATGTCTATAAACTCAACAAAGCCTTATATGGTCTCAAACAAGCACCTAGGGCTTGGTTTGAACGTCTTACTGCGTTTTTTATTGAGAATTCTTTCACTCAAGGGGGAATAGATAAAACTCTGTTTATTAAACAAGTGGATGGTAAAATTCTTCTTGTACAAATCTATGTGGACGATATAGTCTTTGGATCTACAGATCCATCTCTTTGCACTGACTTTTGTGACACTATGCAATCTGTTTTCGATATGAGCATGATGGGGGAGCTTAAATTTTTCCTTGGTCTTCAGGTTAAGCAAACTTCCTCAGATATTTTTATTAATCAATCCAAGTATCTTCGGAATATGCTTAATAAGTTCGGTTTTAATAACTTTAAATCTTGCAATACTCTAATGGTTGTTAACCTCAAGTTAGATCGGGATGAAACAGGGGTTTCTGTATATGAAAAGAAGTATAGAGGCATGATTGGATCTGCTCTATGTCACTGCTAGTAGACCAGATATTCAGTATAGTGTATGCATATGTGCTCGATTCCAGTCAGCCCCTAAGGAGAGTCATTTAACAGCAATAAAAATGATTTTTAGATACTTAAAAGGGACTCCTGAGGTTGGTTTATGGTACCCGAAAATCAATAATTTCTCACTAATAGGCTATAGTGATTTAGATTTTGCGGGTAGCCTAACTGATAGGAAAAGCACTACTGGTACTTGTCAGTTCGTAGGGACGCTTTAGTGTCTTGGTCCTGTAAAAAGCAAGGTGATGTTGCCCTCTCCACTGCTGAGGCCGAATATATTGCCGCAGGCAGTTGCTGTACTTAACTCATTTGGCTTAAAAACTAGCTTAGGGATTATAATGTGATTGCTAGGTCCATACCTCTCCTATGTGATAATACTAGTGCCATTTGTGTGGCAAAAAATCCGGTCCAGCATTCAAGAACTAAACATATTGAGGTTAAGTATCACTTCATTAGAGATTTAGTTCAGCAGAATACTATCACAATTCGCCACATTCGTACGGAGTATCAATTAGCGGATCTGTTTACCAAAGCCTTGAATGCTGATCGATTTACCTTCCTTTGTTACGAAAGAGGGCTGAGATCTCCAGACAATCTGGAAGATCTTTCCTGATTTCTCGTCTGCTTTGCTGCTCTGTTTTAATTTTCTTATTTTGCTGTATTTATTTTCTTTCCATGTTTTGTGACTTGCTTCTTTGAATTCTTCCTGTTATTAGCTCATAGTTCTCTATTTAAGTCTGCAGTGACGTTCACTGGATCAGCAGTGACGACTCTGACAACGATGATTCTGATGACCCGCCGCTAGCGACTGTCTTGGCTGATCTCAGGGATGCTTATAATTCTGATTGAATCTCTTTGTTCTGCTAAACCGTTTTAGCTTTGATGGGTTTCGTAGCTTTGTTTGTCTGGATATTTTGTTAGGTCGCTAAACCTATTTGGTTTTTCCCTTGCTGTGTTAGACTGGACTGGTTTGCTGGACGTGTTGTTTTACCAGCTGATATTTAGACGTTTTTGCACCTTTCGGACTTGTGTGCATGGCTGCTCTATATTGCTATATCTTGGGAAGAGTATATTTGTTTTGCAGGGATCAATCGGACAATCAACAAACTCTAACTTAGGCGGAGATTGTTGGATTGAAAGATTTCAATCAAATCAAGTCAGAGATTGCCCTTTCTCTAAAGGAAGAGTCAAAGAAAATTAAGCCAAAATCAAGGGGGAGCTAATCAATGAAATTCTAAACCTTCCCTTACTGGAACGATTCAAAAGACAGGAATACAACAGCTCTTCTTGAAGAAATATTTAAAGGAAGCTCGGAGACCATTTTATGTACTGATTCTGGGATTCTTTGTGGAATAGGGCAAATGGTTGGGGAATAGACAGTGGCTTTGATCGCAACTAAGGAATAGGTTCAGTCGATCAAAGGTGTAGTGAATTCCTGTGCGAATTCGGATCTTGTTGCCATCGCTTTGATTTTCACATTTGTGTATGTATTTGAGTCTTTATGTTCTTCTTTATAGAGTAATGAAAATCAAAGTGTCTCTCGAAATAGTGTCTACTTTTCCGGGACGAGGAGTAACCCTGTGGTGAACCTCGTTAAAAATTCTGCTGTGTTCTTTATTTTCTGCACTTTGTTTTTGATCATTTCCAGCTTCCCCTGTTCTGCGTCTCTCTGGTTCTGGTCAACTTGGCTCAACGAAGAAGAAGAACAATTTCTCTCTTTCTTCTCTGAGTAGAGATTCAGGCCTATACTGAAGTCAAGCCCAATATCTTTCCATTCTGATCTGCGGGTTTATCTTTAGATGGCCCAACCGAAACCAGCTCTTACGAGATGGGTTAAAATCATTTCGGTCTAATTAGGGTTGTTTCGTTTGCTGACTTCTATCAGTCAAAATCCCTAATTGTTCTCGTCCCATTTCTGTTTCAAGAAATCATTTCTCTCTTACAACAACAACATTGATCTATATGCTCTAAATAACCCAAACCTAAAATTATTTGAATTTGGTCGCCGCACCATGCAAATCCCTCACCCAACCCTACTAAATTGTCGAAACCCTAATAATTATAAAATTATAATTATACTAAACACATCACTTATATTGGATGTCTGATGTAATGATGATGATGGCTCGCAAATGGCAGCTTGGCAATGGGGGCGGGAACAAATTTTATGGGAGGAGATTGGAAGAGAAAAATCAAGTAGGCGGCTCGTTAGAGAAAGGAGTTGGGAATGACAAAAATATTCCTCTGCAGTGTGCGGCTTGCGGAGCAGAGGCTGATTGACAATTTTTTTCCCTGACATTCCCTAATATTTATTTATAGTTTTTTTCTGGTGCAACAATTCATATTGCTTAAGTTTTACTTAATATATGATGATTCAAAAGTGGTTTCTTGTCACATAAGTATTTGAATGATTCACAAACTACTATAATTTTTAAATAAAAAATAATTAGAAAATCATATATATATTCCTTTATTGTTGTCATCAATTTTTTTTTTCATAGACTATTAGACCAATGTTTGAAGAGTACAGATATGGTGTGTTGTTGAAACCGAAAACTATCTGATAATTGTCAACTTCTTAACTACTCTTATAATAAACAAATTTAGATTGCACAAAATGATGTTTTCTTCTAAAACTTACAAATGCTATGTTTTCTTCAAATCTCATAAATCCAAAAA